AGAAATAACACCTTACCCAAAGATTGGAAAATAACTAACATAATACAATTTTCAGTCATACAGGCAATTGAGGAATGTATAGGACAGGAAGTTAAAAATACTGAGTGACATCCTGAAAAACAAACATGTAATTAACAATGTGGTTAAAACATGAAAATCAAGAATGGGTTTTCAGGAGGGAAGTCCTGTTTAGTAAAGACATTGGATTTATTTGAGTGAACAATACCACTTGCTAACAATGGAAACACCGTGAAAGCTTTAACAAGATTGCCTGATATTAATTATTTATTTACATATGGTGAGCAAGCTGTCAGATCCTGCCCACCCTCTATCTGATCGGGCTTTGTTCAGAGCTGGGAAGATGGTGGACTGGGTACTGCTTTGTTTCACATGAAGCCTGGCGGAAAAGACTCCCAGCAGGGATCTCATGGATATCTATCCCAATGAATCACCAATAAGTCGCCAATTTCATCAGTGCAGGGGTCAAGGCTGCTTATAATGTACATCTGTAATTGGAGAAAAACTGCTTTAAAAAAAAAAACCTGCTGACATCAAATTTGTCAACTGAAGGCACATGGGGAGTCAGTGTCAGGTGTGCTGGGTTTTACGGACTAGCCAGATGGCCTCCCTGACCGTCTTCTACTTCTCCACGTACCCTTTTATTACATAGCTTATTCAATTATAGTTAATGCGAATATTTAATCAGTTTTGCATTCCTCTGATCAGTGCTCCCGGTACTCATTTATTTAAGCAAGCCAAGCTATGACATTTCTGGACAAACTATCTATTTGAGTGCCACGGTGAAGCTTGCTGTCATGCAAATGTAAGAACACTTAAAACGCACCAATAGATCTTCAATGAGGTTCAATGTGCAGGCAGTCAAGTGGAAACAGAGCACACTGAACAATCAGAAGGGGAATATAACAAAGTGCTTTGGCTACATCAACAGGGCACAGACATCAAACTATGATGTGCTTTCTAAATGGTCAGTCTTAACAGCAATCAAAAAGTCCTGGTGTTGTTATACATCCCCAAATCTCTATTAATAGAGTTTCAAATACATATCCCTTAAATTTGCATTCTGAGGGAGACTCCACTGAGTTGCAAGTATTTTTCTGCAGTCGCAGTCCATTCTGTTATCTTTATTCAAGGTGGCTAATAATTGACTGTGGCACCTATGGCAATTACCTGAAAAACCACCTATAGGCAAGGGCAGAAACTTCAAACACAAATGACCAAATAAACAACAGCAAGTTTCATGAGACAACAAGGTGCAGAGCTGGATGAACACAGGCCAAGCAGCATCATAGGAGCAGTTTCATGAGTCTGTTCTAACATTTTTCAACATGTTTACGTCCCAAACCCTGGTTATAATGCTAATGTTTGCTTTTAAACAAGTTATTTCACTGGGTTTACTGATTAGAAGGTAGTTAATGGACAAAAAGCTAGAGTCAGGGTTTGGGTAGATGTTATTATAGAACTGCAGGAGTTTAAAAAATAGGCATGAGTTAGGCAATGAAGGCACTTAAATAGGAGCATTTAAGTGCTTGCACTTGGGCAGACAGGTGGGGCACAGAACTAATGAAGTTCACAGCTATAACAGGATTGATCAGAAGTTGACATCAGGCATAGAATAGGACAGCCGTAACAATTTCGGTCAGCTCAAGTTTATGAAGCGGGGGGATAATATTGCAATGGTCGAGGCTCAAGATGACGAAACGCATGGATGAGAGTTTTAGCAGTAAGTGATGTTTAAAAAGAAGGTAGATCACTAAGATGGAACATAAGGAGAGTTTCCTTTAAAAATTCATTGCGAGTTGTAGGCGTTGCTGGATGGCCAGCATTTATTGCCTGTCCCTAGTTGCCTTTGACAAAGTGGTGGAGAGCTGCTTTCTTGAATTACTGCAGTCCATGTGCTGTAGGTTGACCCAAAATGCCATTATGGAGGGAATTCCAGGATTGTGACCCAGTCATTGAAGGAACGGCAAGGTGTTTCCAAAGTTGGGGTGGTGACTGGCTTGGAGGAGAAATTGAAGGTGGTGGTCTTCCCTTGTATCTGCTGCCCTTGTTCTTCTTGATTGAAGTGGTCATGGGTTTGGAAAGTGCTATCTAAGGATCTTGTGTGAATATTAAGGAGGTGGGAGTGATTGTCCAGAAACATCAGGAGGTAGATGTTCATAATTAAGTAGAGATTGTAATGACTGTAATTGAAGATCGCAGTCAGGAAAAATAAACAAACATTCTGTACTCCATGCAAGATGGCCGGGTATGGACTTTTATATAAGCAAATAAATTTCACACCACCAAGAGAGGCACACGGTTTGATAGTAGTTGAGACAATTTGTTCCAGTTAGTCCGAGAAATAGACTTGCTCTGCTTTTTATCTGCTTCCAAGGGTTTTAAAACAAAGTTTTAGAATAAGAATAAATAGGAATTCTAAATTTAAAGGACTGAATTGTTAAATGTAATATAGATATAGATAAGTATTCAGTAAGAATAAATATACACCTTGAATCTAGCAGAGAATTGAAAAACTGGATGAGGAATTGTGAAATATTCAGCTCAACAGTTAAAGATGAGATTGCAGAAATTGGATGTGACTTGTGCAGCTAAAAAAGCACTGGTATGGCATATTCATTGTTATATATGAAAGGATTGATGACAAGACGATTGTGGGTGTTATGGAGGCTGATATCCAACACCAATAAATTGCTTTGCTGGATGAAAAGGAGAGAATTCTAACAAAAGCCAACAACTTGTATGATGAGGTGTACAGTACGTTTGTTATAGATGCAGTATATTAAATCTAGATCTGTGTTTTTGAGCCTTGAACTACAACTTCTTAAACTAATAAATCAGAATTACTGTACTAATATCTTGGGCATTATGACAAAAGTATTCTCATATGTACATGTCCAAAAAAGCCAGACTAGAAGTTAAAACCCTTTTAACTTTTCCACATTTTATTCTTAATATCAGATTGGCGCCCTGAAATGCAGCTTTCAGGGTTTACATGCAGAATGATTTCAGGCAAAATCTTGTGCACAGTTGATTCAGTTGCACCTAAAGCCATATGTAAAGAAAAATGGCAAATGAGAACCCTTGTAAAGCTCAAGGAAGAATGCTGCTTCAGTCTTCTTTTACTCAATGACACACTACTTATGACAGTCATAGAATCCTTCCAGTGTGGAAGCAGGCCATTTGGCCCATCAAGTCCACAACGACCCTCCAAATCGCATCCCACCCAGACCCATCCCCTACGGCCAATCCACCAAACTTTCACATCTCTGGACACTATGGGCAATTTAGCATGGCCAATCCACCTATCCTGCACATTTTTTGGAATGTTGGAGGAAACCGAAGCAGCAAGAAGAAACCCAGGCAGACACGGGGAGAATGTGCAAACATCATACGGTTGCTAGAGGATGGAATCAAACGTGGGTCCTGTGAGGCAGCAGCGCTAACCACTGTGTCACCACACCATGCCCAATTGTGTTTTTTTTTATGGCCAGACTGTTTCTAGAGCGGGTGGATTTATTACTTTTTTGTTTAAAAAAAGACTAGTTCTAAAAAAGGGTTACTGGACCTGAAACATTAACTCTGCTGAGTTTGTTTTGGTTCTTTTTTATTTCTCTAGAGATCTCAAATGACTAACTTTTACCAGAAATACAGCTTTAACTGGGTGAAGTCATGTGCAGATGTGGGATATCAATAGGTTACAACACTCAATTTGATTTGACCTAGAGTAAAAAGTTTTCATTCCTGCCTCAAACGGACACACTACATACAAGCCATCAGGCTTTATCTGAATGTTATACAATATTTTTATTCTTGCATTTGATAGATGAGAGTTACCTCTGGTTAATATATATTCCTGTTGAAGTTCGAGATAAGGATGAGCCAGTATGGAATCAAGGTCCAACTCACTTCAGGTGTCAGATAAAGAAAGAACATTATATTTATAATTCCAGGAAGATATCCTACTTTCTTTTGAACATTAGCAAAAGTCAACTTTTCAGAAACGGAACAAATGTTAAAAATTTTCACTGCTAGATTCTTGCAATGACAATTTAGGGACATTTTTCCAATCTATCAAAATAGTGCATCAAAAGGAATCTGACAAACAACTTGTGGTCACACACAGTTATCAAAATATACTAGCAGAACTAATGCCATGTAGATAAGCTATAAATGAAAAACAAAAATCACTTCTGCAAACATCCAGTAAGGAAGTCAACACCAATGATGCAGTTTCCCAGCATTCATCTGGAGGTGCCCTATCTTCTACAAGCTTAAAGTTCCGGCTGAAACTGCTCAGGCAAGTTACTTCAAAATTTGTATAAAATATGATTGCTTCACTGTGACAATGATCTTCTATACAATGTTTATATTGTATCCAACATGATTAATGAGACTATTTCTTTATCAGATGTTCTCTCAGGAACTAATGCAGCCCTAATGTGTTTATATTTAAGTTCTCAGGTTTTGCTTCAAAGGTATAGCGTGAACAGAGGGATTAGTTTTATTTCTCGCTGCAAAAGCTCAAAAACGTACTTTTGTTTAATGTAGGTATTGCTTAAGAAATAATTTTAAAACTACCAGTTCCTTTTCTTGAACCTTTTCTCCACCAATATTTGGATTTGTGAAAATATGGCAACTCTTAATTATTGTGGGGAGCTTTACACAAGAGCTGAAAAATAAGTGTAACCCAATTTACTGACAACTCTATGGGAGCAGAAGCAACGATTGATATATTTTTAATTGAGTGAAAGTATGCTGGTCAGAGAAATAATGCAGTTCAGGTGTATCATTGTACTTTAAGGTGGATTTTTGGGGTAGTCAAATTTCAATTAGCAGTAAAATTGCAACTACACAAAGTTTTAGATAGTTCACTCTAGTACATCATGACATGAATATTTGAATAAATATCACTAACCAAGAAGTACCAAAAGTATATTTACTCTTGAAATCTTCTAGAGTAAGAGATTTGTAAAAGCAGATTCACGCAGATCTTAAACTATTTATTTTCTAGGAATCCTTGCTGTTCAACAATCACTGCAATGGTCCTCAAATGTTACCAGTTTTGGAATTGTTTAAATGGGGCTCCAAGTAGGCAAGCCTAATGTAAAAGGAGTGAAACAATTCAATAGCTTTTTGAAACTATGGGTAAAAGCACATTAAAATTGTTCTGCTTTAAGTAAACTAAATTTGATTCAATTTTTTATATTTAAGGGCAGACGAATTTGAGAGTGTATTTACCTGGTCAGTTTAATGGTCTTCCTAAAGTCATTCGTGATGGGAGGCTTGTAGCCTCCCTTTCGTAGCAAGGAATCTATGGTTTGAATGTGGTCCCAACCTGTAGAAAATTATAAACGCAAGATCTTAAGCCTTGGAAGAAAATTTACCTTTATTACAAACAAGCATAGGAGCATCAGGCCACAGATTGCAATCCAGTCACTATTTTTAAAATAAGCATTTGTAGTAACGCGGCAAAGTTAAATGCAGAAAACATATACAAAGTTACTTAAAATTGGAAACAAGGGAAATCCATGTTATACTGTACATAAAACACAACATTGACCTTGCTCCTTCGCAACCTCCGGCAGGTATGTGGCGGTGCGTTTTGATCCTTTTTCATTGATGAATTCTATTCTAATGCCATGTACACCCACCTGGAAGAAAATGGCAGCTTCATTAGAATGAGATATGTGAAAATTAAACTGAGGTTTCAGTACTTCATTTAGACTTGACTTTTCCTATGACAATCCTTTGGTCAAGAGATGATTTTTCCATGATACAAATTAAATATCCAATGCAGGACCATTCAGCAATTTCATACTGCTCTAAGAAAGGCAATTCAAACATGAACAATAGAGGCAGATTAAATCCTAATGGAGAAAATTCAACAAAGATTTGAAGAATAAAAAAATCCAGTGTGACAAAGAACAGGGGAATGGAATTATAGTATAAAACAAACAGACATGGAGATAAGTCAATGTCATCTACCATGAAGACTGAATCACCATACACCAGCTCTACTACCTAGTCCAGCTCCATTATCTAGTGCCAATCTCTTACCTTTTCCATATATCCCTACATACCATTACTGTCCAAAAAACCCCATACCCTTGTGCATGTTGATACTATTGTATGGAAGAATGCCACTGGTAAATTGAAATAAACAGCATTATTACTATATTAGATTGAAATGAGTTGCAAAAAGGAGCCACAATCTTGACCGAACAACTGGCAAATAACACTAGCTTCTGATGTTTGCTCAAAATAGATGGAGATTTAATCCTAATTAAATTTGTTGGGTACAGCGGTAAATTGATCTAAAAAGTAATGCAAGCATCAATGCAATTTCAGGATTTGTCTGGACAAATACAAGTATATTAGTGCCAAAACAATAGGTATCAGTATATACATTTCTAAACCTGCTGTAAAATGTGCAGAATATCTTAACTAGCATTTACGATAATAGGGAATCAGAAGGGTTAAAAATTGATGCCAGAGAGGATTAAAAACACTAAATGCATGGGGTCTAGATAGCAAACTACGTTTCATTCATTGTTTTAATTAATTTGAATTCAGAAGTATTATAACTGTTTACTCACTTTCAGCAATTTCTAAAGAAAAATCATTCTTAGGATCTGGACATCGCTGGCTAGGCTAGCGCTTACGGCCCATCCCCCCCAGTTGCCTAGAGGGCAGTTAACAGTAAAAGTACATTGCTTTGACTCTGGAGTCACATGTAGACCAGATCAGCAAGGATGGCAGATTTACATCCCTAAAAAGGACATTGCTGAACCAGATGGGTTTTTTCAAAACAAAAAAAAGAGTGGTTATGTAGTCAGAGGGTTGCAAGTCTCCAAAACTCTTCACCCCACAAAGCAATGGAGACACAGTCACTGATTTCTTTTTTTAAGGCAGAAGTAAATTAACCATTATTAGGCAAGGATTAAGGTTATCAGACGTAAGCAGAAATGTACAGTCAAGGCCACAATCAGATCAGCAAATACCTTATCGAACAGCAGAGCAAGCTTGAACCACCGATTGGTCTACTTCCGCTCCTTCTTTGCACATTACTTCCAATTCAATATTCTGACTGCCTCTGCACTGACAAGTTGTGAAACGTATATTGGACAAAACAAATTCAGTTCAACACTGAAGGTCGAAGCAGTTGGTCTTAGCCCTTGTAGTTCATATTCTAATTTTCACTGACCCACCCTGTGTGCAATCTTGATGCTACCTAAAACTAATGAGCTTTAAACCTATCAAGGTGACTCAGGGCCACTCATGACCATTGTCTGCACTGTATCTACATCAACCACTCCACAACTAAAACCCTTTCCGTGTGCATTTTTCCAACTCACAATTCGACAGTTCTAACTTTTCATCCTGCCTGTTTGCTATTCTTTATAAACTCTTAATTTGCCCAAATTTCCATGCACTGGATTCCATCTTGCCCGAAATCTCTCATGCAATACTTTTTTTTTGAGCTGTATGAGATCCTTGATCCACAACATACAAGTTCTAATCACTTTTCATCTGCAGCTTCCTCCAACTTTATTTTTCTTATAAAAACATTACAACCCCCGTTTTTAGCTTTCAATCATCTAATAATTTCTTTATTGCCATTCTTCTAAATCTAGTTATGCTCCTTTGAAACTTCGTACAACGTTAAATTCACATTAGAAACGCAAGCTTCAATTGTACATTTGCTATATTATTATGGCTTCAATAACCTCGGAATTTGAAAATTTCAAGATTAGAACAAAGTCAATTCAGAGCCAAATCAAGTAGCATATATTGTCCATTCAAAAATACAGTGCAAGTGTGGAATATTCCTATGAACAGCCATGAATGCTGGATCAATTGAAATTTTGAAGACCAAGTGCAACAGATACAAGTTAAGGGTGTCAGGTGATATGGAAGAAGCCAGATTAAGGCCATCGAGGATTAGTCCAGTTATGATCCAACAGAATGGTGGAACATGTCTAAGAGGCTGTCTGATCCTACTTGTTTCTATTTTCCACCTTAAATGTAATTCTTTTAAAAAAAGGTTCCATAATGCAGAGTGTCAACAGCATTAAGGCCATCAGAGATTAAGGCAGTGATGTACAAAATCTCCTGCACTCTGGAATAGACAGTAAATGCCAACTAGCCAAAAGGAATAAATGCATAATTTTGATATAGGGTTATGGGGTACGTCAAGTATGTCATCAATTAAAACTCCATCCTCCTGCCCAAGTGGGATACAACGGCTTAAAATTATTGCAAAAAAGAACCTCCCAAATTGCTATTAAACTACTTAAAAAGAAAAAAAATTACTGTTTGAAAATTGCTGCCGCAACCTCTGGAGAATGCAATTCGAAGTTATTTTGAAGCACGTTAGTGTAAATTTAAAGCATTAGTATTTCCAGGATGTAGATTCAGTAAAAATTACATACCTCCCAATCTAAGTAATCTCCAACATCTTCAAAGTTGGTAAGAAGAGACACCGAGCAAAAAAGCCGTGGTAATTCTTCCCTCGTCATTGGAGGAAAGCGACTGTCTTTAAGGGCACTACAGGAGACAGAAAAAGCCCTTGTTGAAACTGAAATCCAGACCATTACAAAATCATGAACTCATTGACCTGGATTTCATATTTGGCTGCCGAATGAGAAGAAGAACACTGCTGGACCTCTGTTCCTTTTCTGATAACAGTTTCAATATGGCACAAGATAAACTCAAGGAGTCTCCAATGGTGAGCAACATCAGCTGCCTACTTACTTGACATCATTAACCACATTCAAGTAATCACAGATGGCTGACAAGAAAGTAAATGCACTGACTATCGTTTGCTTTAAATGGAAAAGTGATTGGGGTACCTGCAAGGTAGAAGCTGAAATATCAAGCAAACTAAAAATTAAGCAGCATTTATCATGGAGACATTTGATATCCTACTAAAATAAAATTAGTCTGTCAAAGCTAGAGGGGTTTCTCAGCCATAATTATGAAATTAGAATGCCATTAATAATCCAAGTGCACTTCAGCCAACAAGATTCAACTTTTTCAGTTGTGCTTACAAGGCTGTATGCGCAAAGTTTGCACATTCTCCGAATCTGTGTGGGTTTCCTCCCATAACCCAAAGATAAGCAGGTAGGGTGGCTTAACCATGGTAAATGCAGGGATATGGGAATAGGGTGGGGGTCTAGGTCTAGGTAGGATGCTCTTTGGAAGGCCAAATGGCCTCTTCCTCCAACATAGGCATTTTATGATTCTAAGGTTAACAGTATAAAAGAACACATTCTCTCAGAAGTTCAGTGATTTCTATTTGATTTCAATCTGCAAAGATTTTCATTGTCATTTTCCATAGGGTATACTATCTCAGAACAACTTCTGGATTTAAGCGTTTGACTGCGCACATGCATCTGCAGAAGCTAGCATCAGTCTCAAAATCAATGAGGGAACCCATGCATGGCTACCCCAATTCTGGTCCATGATTCTGCAATTTGTGTATGTGGAATTTTGAGAGACAATGCATATCAGAACCATCAGGCACTGGCATTAAACTCAGTTTGAGAGTAAGTGACTGGGTTACAATACCAAGATAACAGTTTGCTCACACAACTTTCAGATGTGTTCTACAGTTCCCAAGAGATCCAATTCAACAGGCTTTGCAAAATTCTGCATTCGACCAGAAATAATAGTATATACATAAAAACGTATTTTAGAGATATCTCCTCCTTTACTTTCATGGAATGAAATAGAATGTAATTTTAAAAACAGAGTCTAAAACTTCCCATGCAAGTTTTGAGAACTTGCACTGAGAAACCTGAACATGACATAAGTTAATTATTTCTATAGTTTATTGCATAGTATATTGCACTTCACTGATAAATGAATGCACTGCTTTTCCAAAGTAATTCAATGTTATGATGACACACCAAATTGAGTACCATCATGCGTTAAAAATGTAGGCCATGAGTTTCAATCATTTCTTACATTCTAATATGCAGTGTATAAAATGCACAAAGATTCAAAGGACTTCTTGTGATCACAGGCGTGGGATTTCATCAACTAAATCATGCATATCAGAAATGATTTTTTATTTTAAACAGACAAATTGTTAAAATGGATAGCTGACTTCTTACTATACTTCTGGAACGCAATTTGCAAAATGGTCTCTTATTTCAATTAATATGGCTTTTGAATTTTGGCTGTTGATAAAGGTTGAAATGACGACGAGAGCTGATCTTGGGTTTGGAGGGTCAAAATGTAAAAGCAGTTTGGTTGGAGGTAAGAGAAAACAATGGAAGTAGTCACTGGTGTGGGCGATTTATAGGCCCCCTGACAATAGCTATACTATAGGAGAGAACATAAATCAAGCTGTAATGAAAACTTGTAAGAAAGATACTGCAATATTTATAAGAGATTTTAAACTTCACAGGTTTGATGAATCAAACTGGCAAAGGCAGCTTGGAGGATAAGTTCAAACTGTATTTGGTTTCTGAGAACAATTCATTGTGCAACAAGCAGGCAACAGGCAGATACGTTTTAGGACCAAGAGAGATTAAAAAAACTGTGGTCCTACATTTTAATATGCTACACACGAGAGGGTACAGAATTAGAAGGTGGTTAAGCAGATGCACGTGTGGCTGGATGGTAAAGGAGGACAGTTGGAACACACCAGTGCCCATGCTGACTAGTTCAATGACCTTGCAGGATAAATGGCATGTGCTACCGAGAAGGTTTCAACTATGAAATCCAACATTAAATGGGAAAAACAAGTTGCACAAAGGATTGGGAATGTCAGAAGGGGCACTAGATAACACTAGAGCAAGTAACAGTACAGGCATTAGGTAATAGAAAGAGTAAATACAAGTTCTAAATTAGGTTTAGACTGCAAGTATGTGAACACAGGGAGAGTGATAATTATGATTGGTGAGCTGTTGGTTTGGACAGACAAGGGGGTGATAGGACATCACAGCAATACTGGATCAAAAAGCAGGTAAGACTGGGTTCTAAATAACTTTAGATAGACAATGCATAGGAAAGATACCCAGAAGGAAAGGAAAGAGAAGAGGAGGGATATCAATATTTTGAAACAGAGGTCAGAGGGAAGTTGAGAGAGCACAGACCTGGCTGGAGTAAATTAGAATTCAAGCTTGCTAGGCAAAATTGTAATGATCTGTCATTAAGGATATATTTAGGTACAGTGGAAGCACAGTCCCACAAGGATGAAAAGGCAAAATAAGCATATTCAGAGCTCCCTGATGGCAAAATTGATGACAATACACTGAAGTAGGAAAAGGGTGCCCATGACAGATGTCAGATTGATAATACAAACAAGATCAATGTTGAATACAAGTAGTTCAGAGGGAAGTGAAAAAAGTAATGAGAACTTAAAAAAAAAAAGGAGAGAGAATAGACCCAGTTAAAGAGATTCCAAGAAAGGCTTCTTTAGGCATACAAATAGTAAAAATGTTGTAAAATAAATGGTGGTGCCAATTACGAATCAAAATGGAATTTGCACTTGGAGGTGGGGTCATTGCTGAGATGAATTTTTGCATTTTTTTTTAAACCAAGTACAAAGATATTGTCAAAGTCAAGGGAGGTAATTGAGACACTGGACTGGTTAAAAGTTAATAAGAGGTCAGAATAGAAAAGCTGTCTGTACCTACAAGTTGATAAGTCAATAGCATTAATCAGATACATCCAAGTATACCGAGGAAAACAAAAGCAGTAATTGCAGAAGCACTGGCAATTTTCTAACATTACCTGGAGTTGAAGAATAGAGAATTCCAGATGGTACACACCTTTAATATTGAGTTCATCTAAAAACCCAACTATAGCTGAAGGGTAGATACTTCAATCATCCTATTTGACATATTATGACACAATTTTAGAGGTGGTGGAACTTAAACCAAGGCCTTCTGGCCCAGAGGTCAGGACACTGCAACAAGACCCTCAGCTAAATGGGTTTATTTTTGATATTTTCCAACCACCTGTTCAGAGATATAATACACATCTGGAGTGGGTGGGACTTGAAACCAGACCTCTTGGCTCAGAGGCAGGGACGCTACCATTGCACCACAAGACCCTCAGTCAAATGGGTACTTGACAGCTTTTAAAAATATCTCCTGGAACAAAATAAATAATCTCTTGAATAAATGCAATTTGTCCAGGCAAATAAAGTTTAACTAACTTAATTCACCTTTTTGATGAAGTAATACAGGGATCTGAAGAGGAGTACATGCACTCTAATCTTGAATCAGTCACCTCCCAAATGCCCCTCTCTTGCCTTATAATCATATTCCTCCCATGTCTGCACCTGGCAGAAATACTATCCTCCTTTTTACTTCCAACATCATCTTCAAAGTTTCAACTGTATAGCAATCAGTCCCCTATTCTCCACAATATTTCCACAGCAGATGATGCACTGAACCTCACCTCACTACGTAATGAAAGCCTATTCATAAGAACATAATTGGAGGGTAGGAAGAGATCATTTGGCCATTTGAGCTTGCTCCGCTATTAAATAAAGATCACGATAGGGATCTCCTCTCAGTTCCATTCTTATCAGTCTAATCACAGCTAGAGAATTTTTTTTTTTAAGAAAAGGTTTCACTTCCTGCTCCTGCATCATTATCTCCAGTATATCCCATGGATCATTTCCTTGGCCCTTCCCTCAGCTTTACTGGTTGGAGCTATACAGAGCTGGCTGCTGGAGGTCAATCATCTTAGCACTAGTACATCTCTGGAATTCCTGTGTAGATTTGTTTTAAAATCAACCTGTTCAAATATGTTATGAAACGCCCCTACAGTAGGTGGGATTTGAATTCTGACTTCTAGCCCCAAAGTAGGGACACTTACCACCACACCACAAAAACTTCCCAGAATTTCTCAGTATGGTGTTCTGGACCCACCACCTTCAGCTGCTTCATCAATGACCTTCTCTCCACTAGGAGGTCAAAAGTGAGAATGTTTCCTGTTAGTTGCACAATATTCAATACTATTTATAACTCCTCAGATACTGAAGCAGGCTACATCTACATGCAGCAAGACCTAGACTTTATCTAGGCTTGGGCTGGCAAGTGAAAGTAATATATATGCCACACAACTGCAAGGTCATGATGCCCTCCAAAAGAGAATCTAACCATTTATGCCTAGAAGTTCACTGGCACAGACATCGCTGTGTGCCTCATTATTAACATCCCCATGTTTACCATTGAGCTGGACAAGCTATATGAACACTGCGCCTACAAAAAAGGACAGAGGATGGGAGTAACTCACCTTTGGACTCCCCAAAGCCTGTTAGATTCCACAAAGAACAAGTCAGAAATGTGACTGAATATTCTGCAATTGTCTGAATGGGTATAACTCCAACAAGCTCAACACCATTCAAGACAAAGATTCCAGCTTAACTGGAATCCCATCCACCACCACCTTCAAAACACAAACAGTTCAGCTATGATCTCAATGGATGGTACTGCAGGCTTGAAAACCTGAATGGTGCACTTCAACACCTATTCATCTGTTAATTATTCATCCCTTTCATGAGCAACAGCTAGCGGCAGAAC